TCTACTAAATGATGGACACAGTAATATTTCAAGATTGAACTGAGGTTTATTAGACTAAAAGAAAATGTGCAATATGCATTAAAACAAAACTTGACAGGTGCAAAATATTTGGGTACCCTAATCACTTTATTAATTTGAATACCATTAACTACTTTTTACTGACTTACTGAAACACAAAATTAGTTCGGTAACTTCATTAAGATTTTATCTTCATAGCCAGGCGTACCCAATCATGAGAAAATGTATTTAAGGTTGCAAGTTATAAGTTATTCTCCTGTTTGAATCTCTTCTGAAGATTCATCATGGGCGCCTCAAAATAACTCTCAAATGATCTGAAAACAAAGATTGTTCAACATCGTCGTTCAGGGGAAGGATACAAAAAGCTGTCTCAGAGATTTAAACTGTAATTTTCAACTGTGAGGAACATAGTAAGGAAGTGGAAGATCACAGGGACAGTTCTTGTTATGCCCAGAAGTGGCAGGCCAGGAAAAATATCAGAGAGGTAGAGAAGAAGAATGGTGAGAATGATCAAGGACAACCCACAGACCACCTCCAACCCACAGACCACCTCCAACCCACAGACCACCTCCAACCCACAGACCACCTCCAACCCACAGACCACCTCCAACCCACAGACCCCCTCCAACCCACAGACCACCTCCAACCCACAGACCACCTCCAAAGACCTGCAGCATCATCTTGCTGCAGAAGGTGTCACTGTGCATCGTTCAACAATTCAGCGGCCTTTGCACCAGGAGAAGCTGTATGGGAGAGTGATGCTACAGGCTTTTTTACATTTTTTATTTGCTTTTTTGTTCATAAAAAAAGACTTTATGCATGGCGGCAAAAAAATACAGCATTCCAAGAGAAACACTTGGTACCCACTGTAAAATTTGGTAGAGGTTCCATCGTGCTTTGGGGCTGCATTTCCAATGCTGGCACTGGGAATCTTGTTAAAGTTGAGGGTTGCATGGATTCCACTCAATATCAGCAGATTCTTTAGAATAATGTTCAAGAATCCGTTATGAGGTTGAATTTATGCCGCGGATGGATGTTTCAGCAAGACAATAATCCAAAACACCGCTCCAAATCTACTCAGGCATTCATGCAGAGTAATAATTACAATGTTCTTGAATGGCCTTCCCAATCCCCAGATCTGAATATCATTGAACATCTGTGGGATGATTTGAAGCAGGCTGTCCATGCTCGGCGACCATCAGACTTATTGTTTTGCAACTGGAAATTGTTATGGAAAGAAGAATGGTCAAAAATGCTTTCATCCAGGATCCAGGAACTCATTCAGAGCTGCAGGAAGCGATTAGAGGCTGTTGTTTTTTCAAAAGAAGGATCTACTAAATATTAATGTCTCTTTTTTTTGCTGAGGTGCCCTATCAAATTTTTTGTTTTAATGTTTGCTGCAAATTTTCTGTTAGTCCAATAAACCTCAATTCAACACTGAAATATTACTGTGTCTATCAGTTTTTAGATATATCAAACTTAAATAGATTTTGCAAACATCTAAACATTTAGAAATGAAAATAAAGACTTATAGGGGTGCCCAAACTTTTTAATATGACTCTACAGCTGAGATAAGTCTCCTTGTGATTTTGGTGGCAGTGAAAGTCAAGAAATTATGGAAATGCTTTAGAGGTGTCCTTTATCCTTCGTCTCTGCTTTTTACCGAGAAAGAAGGTCTAATTGTGAAAGGCCTTTGAATAGTTCAACAGCCCTGGCAAAGATGCAGCTAGTGAAGTGGGACAAGCATTTAATGTTTTGTGGATTTTTTTCTTCTGAGGCATGAGGTAAAAGCTTTGCTGAAAAATGCAGACTGGCAGTTTTAGTTACAGAGCAAAACTAATCTTACAAAATCTGCATCATGTTATAATATTTGATATGAATTTTTAAAAGAAGATTTGTGATTCACCCTAAATGCAGATCACATATCTTCCACTTCAAAAAGAAGCTACATTTACGCGATCATTTGATTTACATTCAGTTAATGAAGAAGAATATAGATAAGCAGCCTTTTCTGGGCAAACCATGACATAAAAGTCTAAGAATTTATCTCAGTTATAGCCTTTTCTTACAGTTTTAGCACTTCTGTGTCTCGCCCAACCCTGAGCTGCCTTTATCTTATAATTGACATTTTGTGCACAGACTCACTATCTCTCATTGCTTACTGTGTTATATTTTTATCGTTCATTTATAAATTCTTTTTACAGATCAGCATGTTCTCTCTACTGCACCCACCCCCGCCTGCCCGCCCTCCAGCTACACAACCCTCTGCTTCTCTGCTACTGTCTGCCCTCGTTTCACTTTACTACCAATATTTAGCTTTAATTTTCATTTGTGCAGATGTTACCGCTGTAGATTGACCCTAATCTTCCAATTCATTAGTTTGATTAAAAACAGAAGGGACAGATTAAATACCTAATTCGTAAGAATTTGCTTTGATACTGTGGATCCTTTGCAAAAACAATTCACAACAATATACACAACAGCTGCAAAAACATTATAGTAGGTAATTAAATGTCTGATATGATGTTTCTTTAAGGGTTTATGTGGAATTGTAAAATTTGTGGGATTGCCTGTTTCTACTGTTGATGCTTGAAAGCAATGTGGTTTTAGATAGATAGATAGAT